ACTCTGGTCAGCATCAGCAACCAGCACATGGAAAACCAGAGCTTCTGTATCAATGTAGGTATTCGAAGTTGCTATGTTTTTGTTTTCTAAAAATAATAATTGAGATTTTCTCTGTATTGGCTGCTAGGCTGGTGTGCAGAGGAAGCTTAGGCAATGCACGGCCTCTAAGCCCATTCTCCATACACACTTTTCTGCTTGGCATGAGTGTCTGCTACCTTGAGGAGTAGTGGGGAGGATGAGGCTGAGCCCCCACACTGCTGAGGCACTGATCTGGAGGATGCTGAGGCTGTCACTGCAGGAGGGAGCTGTGTGAAGCATAAGGGAGACTCCAGCAGCATTCTCCCAGGGATCCTTATCTATTTCTCAGGCCAACGACTGTCAAGGACAAGGGCTGCCATCAGGTCAATGTGTTCTTTAAATATAGAGCTGACTAAATTTAGTGTTAAATCTGCTGTGAAAATTTACAGCTCGTAACATTTACCTGACAGACATCCGGACTCCCTTGTCCAAATATACAGTTCCTTAAATTAGACATAAAATATGCCATGAGGCAGCAGCCTCAATTACATATTTACAGCACTGGATCAGGTAAGTATGTGTTTATGCAACCAGTCCTACCAGTGCAATGAGCCAGTGCCATCAGGGAGCTCTCAGGGCCACGGGCTGTCTCTGCATTGTCTGAGTCTGACATAAGGAAGCTGGTGTCCTTAGGGGCTGTTGCAACTCAAAGAAGAAAAGCATGTGATGATAAATATCTTCTCTTAAAAACCACTGTGCCTAGAGATTTTTTCCTCCTTAGCAAACATTATTGCCCCTAAACAACGAGTATTTTATTTATATAACCATTTACTTATGGGCCATTGTTGAATAGAAGTCGGGTCCTTCAGTATCCAAAGTGAATGCCTCCCATCACTGCAACTGCAAAATTATTTCCAGCACGGAATTCTCTTCACCAACGAGCTCAGCAGTTATTTTGTGGTTACTGCAGTTCTTCAGTATCTCACACTGATGGGGTAATTGCCTTTATGAGAAGCTCTCATGCAAACAGCCTTTTGAACTGGAGTAGATTTTAAATCAGAAGAGAACACCAAAAAGGAAGAACAAAGGGGATGTCTTCAGTGCAGGCAGCACGTAGCACAGCCCAGGTTCGTGGCATGCAGCAGCACTCAGTGTAGCTGCTCTCAAAGACAGGAGGCTCCTTTGAAATGGAGTTTGGATTAAGGAAGAGGCTTCAAAAAGGTCGTGTCACATTCTGGGGAGTTTATGTACCCTTCATCAACTCAGTGACAGGGCAGAATTTCTATGAGGGAAGCCATGCTGTTTAGAAAAGAAGGACCAAATTGTTTTTAAAAGCTAGGAAATGGATTTTTCCTGAATTGGTGCTCTCCAATATGGCAAGATTACCATCATTAATATATTACAGCTGACATCTGCTTAGACCTACAGGAATAAAGCATATCAGTGGCATGGGCTGAAGGTGGTGGCTTCTGAGATCTGATCAGTCCATGTCAGTTCAGCAAACAGCATGAAACCATGGTTCTAAAAAAGGAATTGCTAGCTACTAATGGCAATTCAGTGTTTTTGTCACCAGTGCAAAAAGTACATGTTCAAATATATGGGCAAGCTTTGCCAGAAATGTGTGGCTGCCATCAAAGAAAGCTTTATTCTGTCCTTACAGAGCTGGGTCACTCTGAACCCCATCCACAGGAGCTATACTTGCTTGACCAGTGCCATGGCGTGTGCAGCTCTGGAGGACAGCACTTGGCAGGCATTGTATCCTCATTAGGCAGGACTTAAATTCTGCCCAGTGAAGCTTTTTTACCTGAAAACTGACTTAGCTCTTTATAAGCACTTTCCAGTGAATATTTATAACATTCTGAAAGAGGCCTCCTGCCCAGCAAACCTCTTGTCAACAGCCTGTTTCTCTGCTCTGTAACCACTCTCCCTTCACAGCTGGCATCCACAGTCCCAGCTCCTGCACAACTTGCCAACCAGCATCACTGCTCCTTGTTTGAGTCCCAACACTGGCTGAGATCCTCAGTCCAAAGAATCGAGCTTCTTGTCTCTGCAGCTCATCCAGCCTGACACTGCTCTCCTTCCAGGCAAGAAATCTGTTCGCTTGAGAGACACGCGTCAATTCCAGCTACCACCTTGTCTCTGTAATGTCACAAAAGTTCACAGACGAGGCTGATTTCATGCAAACAGGGCTGCCTAGAATGTTTTTAGAACAGGGAGTTGTTCCAAAGCATCCCGTTGTTGTACAGAATTGAAGAGATCTCTGTGCTTGTGCTTTCCAACCACAAGTGAGCGTAACTAAAAAAGCCCTGACACTAAAACAAGGTGGTTTTTTTTTTTTTCAAGAAAAGCCTGGATGAATGTTACACATCTGCAGAATAGTTTGCATTGGAAGGAAATGTTTGGCACAGTGATGTTTCATAGTAATGCCTGATTGGGTAACTTTCTATTGTCTTGATATTGGGTAATCATTTGCGTTTTGCAATGATTCCAGGACTCCCAAAGTGTTTGTCATACAGTAATGGATTCAACAAATGCAGTAGTGGATTACAACAACTGAGTGTCCTAGAATAAATGTTATCTATTCTACATGTTTAAGACATGCTTTCAGCAGTAGCTCCACCATTAATACCAATTAAGTCCTATTATCCTCTATTCTGTCTGAAGTTTTGTTTTGTAGAATGTTTGAGCAATGCATCTGCTATGAAGATGAAGAATCATAGAACCACAGAATGGTTGGAGTTGGGAGGGACCCTCAAGGCCATCAGGTCCAACCCCTGCACTGAGCAGGGACACCCACAGCTCCATCAGTGCTCAGAGCCCCATTCCCTGACCTTGGGTGTCTGCACCACCTCTCTGGGCAGTCTGTGCAGTGCCTCACTGCCTCACTGCAAAAAACTTCTTCCTTCTTTCCAGTCTAAATCTGTCCTCTTTTAGCTTAAGTTCAGCAGGCTTGGAGAATTGAGTCACCAAAATGCTAGTTATCTTTGCTGTGTATTTAGCACTGCTGAAGTGAAAACAGCTAATAACTTCAACAGTTCAAAGCCAACATTTTTCTGCCAGGTGTTATTAATCGTAACTGACACGTCTTGTAGAGTTGTGTGTTCTTGTAGTTAAGAGGCTCTCTATCAAAATGCATTTCACCCATTTAGCTACCTTGCTTGGTTCCTCTGGGTGTCACAGTTTTTTACTTGTAGATGACCTCGTTGGTTGGAGGGATGAGAGCTGTGCCTGGGGAGCCCTGCCCAGTCAGCTTACAGGTTTGGAATGAATGCTTTATACACATTGCACAGACAGCACTTGTGCATCTCAGTAATTCCCTGTACCTTGAGCAGCTCGTTGCTTCTCACAGATCAGCTTTGATTTTAGAAGCACCGTAGATAATAATCATAAATGTTTGATTTACTATGAATATTTAATACTTATGAAGGATTGATGAGCATATTTTTAAACAAACTGGTAGAATTGTGTGAAATGAAGAATATCTATGAATACATGTCTGACCTGCATTCCAAATAGTGTAGGGCTTTGTGTTTTTATTAAGATAGGTATCTGGTTTGTATTTTCATTCAGATTTTAGTACATGGATAACAAACACAAAAATACACTTTCTGTGGCCAACTGACAATAAAAGGAATCTGAATGGACTTCCTTACAGATACTAGAATTATTCTATCTTCCAATTTCCATCCCATTGGAAGGAATCCCTTCTTTATCAATTCTTTTCAAGACGTTTTTTCAAGGAAATATGTTTTTCCTAGCACAGAGCTAAGAGCTGGCTGTGGTTCACTGATTTCTTTTCACCTATTTGCTTTCAATTTCCTAAGGCTTGGAAGCCAAAGAGAGACCCCACCCTACATACTGCTGTATTTAATTACCAGGGTTCTTGCTTCTCCAAAAGATCTCAATAGCAGTGCTGCTTTCTGATGCAGACAGCTGAGCTCTGCATCCAGCTGGCAAACATCTCCCAAGGGTTGGTGGAGAATCACTTTGCCAATAGGTGCCACTGTTGCTCCATGTATTTGTGCCTGAATCATCAGCGTCCTTCAGTTCAGAATCAGTTCAACCTTGAAAAAACAAAACTAAATCATGGTGACTAAAAGTGCACCTCTGTGCAGAGGTAGAACTCATGGCCAGAGGTTTGTCCAGGCCATGAGTAACGAATATGCTTTATCTTGTGCCTAAAAGTGATTATAATATTGCTAACCTTCAGCAAAATAGATGAAGGAAACCATAAACATACATGGAATTAATTACAGATATGTTTCATCAAAGCCTTTAAGTCGCTGCAGATTTATTGTTGAACCTCAGACCAGCAGCAGCTGAATCTTGATCTCCTGCAGATCAAACATGATTTAAATGCAAAACTTCCACATTAATGCAATAAGAACTGGGACTTCTGTCAGCACTAAGTACCAGGGTGCCCCATACAGCAATGCAAAGGCCACCAACTGCTGTATCTTCTGGGTTCAGTGCTCGGTAATGCAAGGCCAGCTAATGTAGTTTACTTTGCAGCTTATCTACCATTAAGTGACATTCAGTATGCAAAGCCAAGGGCAGCTGAGGACTGCTTGCTGGCTGCGTCGGTGCAAACCTTGCTTCACCTTGTCCTTAGGTATTCAGCCATTCCATATGCTTAATTTGCTCTTGGGCGTTTCAGACATATAATGGAATAATACAAGCTTCTTTTCTCCTCTTTCTTTAAAGAAATGTGTAGCAAGCTGCATGAAAATGAAATAACTAAAGAAAATACAGCTAAGGGATTTATATGCTATTAGGTTCTGCCTCACTTTGTATTTTTTAATGCAGCTACCCACTGACTAGATGCTGACACATACGTAGAGTATTAATATCTCCTGTTAAAGGAATATTCCCAGCCATCTGCAGCTTAGAATGTAATCCAGCAACGTGTTCTAACTAGCAGCCAGCCCTCCAACCATATAACCTAATTCCCCTTCCTTCCGCACGGAACAGATCACTCTTAGTCCATCAGCAACAAGCTGTATTAAGTAGTGCTTAAGATCACACTAAGCTGTTTACATGGAGGCAGCTCTTGCCTTTGTGTCTCTCACTAGTTGGCTGAGGGCTTGCAGGTATCTCTGACCCCCTTCATAGTCCAGGATTCTGCTAACATGGGGAAGCTGTCCCCTCCTGGAGGAGAGGCCGTGAGGTTTAGCTGCGCGTCTGAACTGGCATGGAGCAAAAGCTGACACTGGTGGCTTTTCATAGGAAATGGTGTAGATGCTGTTCATCACTCCAGCTTCTTTCCTGTGCCATTTTCTCTTCAGGTGCTCAAGAAGTCCGTAGTTGGTGGGTGGTTCTGAGACGAGAAACGATGACGTGTTATAAATGGTAGAATTAAAACTTTGATCCTGGTGTTTTTAATCTGCAGTGGGCATCAGGAGTGTTTCTGCTATTTTGACAACAGATTAAGGACAAAACAGCAGTCTGGTTGTTCCCAGGGCAGGTGTGTGTCCGTCTGCCTGGGGGGAATCACTGTAAGGTACTGCTAGGAAAACAGTCATGATACAAATATAAGGAATCCTGATTGTCCATTGTCTCTGTGATCGGTATTAAAGAAGTTAGCAGAGATTTACATAGCTCTTACATTCAGAGACATAGTAATCTCAGAATCATAAAATGGCTTAGGTTGGAAGGGACCTTAAAGTCCATCCAACCCCCCGCTGCCGATTCCCCTCTTTTAGTCTAAAGCCATTCCCCCTTTCCTACCACCATTACACCACGTAAAAAGTCACTCCCCTTCCTGCTTATACATCCCTGAAACACTGGAAGGCTGCAGTGAGCTCCTCCCAGAGCCTTCTCACCTCCAAGCTGACCAAGCTCAGCTCCCACAGCCTTGCTTCGCAGCAGAGGTGCACTGCAAAATCCACTTTTTAAATGATTTTAAAACAGGAGGGGCTCTAAGTTGGTATGTTGACCACTCCACTATGTCCCATCTTTTTTTTTTTTTTTAATTAATAATAGCAAGAACTACCAAGAATGGGGAAGTCTGATTTCTGAGGAACCCATGCAAACTTGCGTCCGTTCCAGCTGCGGAGGGGAGGCAGAAAGGGAACATAACCATGTCTGTTGTAGTTATCCTCATACTCTGACACTAAATGTCGGCTCCTCGGTTCCTCGTGGTGTGTGAAGAAGTGCTGTGCTGGCAGGCCCTGAAATGAGATGCACATTGAACCGCTCCATTTGTAACGGTGCACAGCATTCACATGGCTTAGCATGCTTTTGAGTCAGACTGTGCCACCAGTGACAACATAAAATGTCGTGATACCTACATTACCTTTACTTGAGACTTAATTCCCAAGAATAAGGACATTTGCCTCTCAAGTATGGTAAATTTTCAGTTAAATTAAGCAACTACATTTGCATAGCATGAGGTCTGATTTGGCCGCCCTGCTTCCATCCAGTACTGCCAGGGAGCTCTGAATCCTGCAAACCAGCCACAGAATCATAGACTTAAGGCTGGAAAAGACCTCTAAGGTCATCTAATCCAACCCATCCGCCTACCACCAACACTGCCCACTACACCAGAGCTGCAGTGCGTTCTTTGGCACGTGCATTTGTTTATGGATATGAAATATGACTTCAGTTGGTTACAAGTCATTGCTGTTTGGAATATTAGCCCACAGAACCCCACATAGGAAGCTCTTTTACTTACCTCGTACTTCTTCATCATGGTTGCTCTTAGTGTTCGCTCTGGTTTGTGATCTGGGAAGTGAGTGAAGTCTGTGCTGTACACGCTGCAGCCAAGTTTCCCACAGGGTTTTATAAACTGGAGAGATGCACAGCACTCAGGAGATAGCAAAGGCAACCTGATGATTACAGAACCTCTGTTCTGCTGCTACTTTTTATCATCTGTGCATTAAAAAGCACTTATTTGAAAGGAAATCTATGCTACGGCCATTGTGAAATTCTACTCTGACTCCTTGGTGTTAATGCAAGATACTGTAATAGCCATTGAAAAATGCCTCATGGTTTGGTGTTAAATACCATCCCCTGCTGTGTGAGCTAACATCTGAAAAGCATTTTGCTCCAGGTCAGTTGAAGAAATGCAGAAAAATGGAACATCTTCTCGGGAAACCTGTTCCCCAGCTGTTTTCTTTGGTTACAAAGGGCTTTTTCTTACTATTCTCTGGGCAATCTGTTCCAGAGCTCTGTCACCCTTACCACAAAGAATTCTCATTACTTTCCAGTTTATTTCAACCTCATTCCTAACCTAAAGAAATACATCATGGATTTCTTTTTTTCTGCATAATGTGCTGTGATCACATCAGATTTCATAACTGTCAGGACAAAAAAAAAAAAAAAGAAGTAATTTTATTGGAGTCAGGAGGATTTGCCCTAAGAGCTCCAAATTCGAACCTAACTGGAATGTTTTAACAAGAATTAAATGTTTAATGATAAAATCTGCTCAGGTCTTAAGTAGGACGTGTAATTTGTAGAGTAGCTCTGCAAGCAAAAGTGCTGACATCCAGACCAGTAAGAATCCAAAGGTACAAGTAGTATCAACTTATTGAGGTGTTAATGAAACTTCTATCGTGCTGGGCTGTGTGAAGTTGTATATATGAATGTTATATGGTTGTGTATGCTGTATGTAATAAATTGTACAGCATTCTGAAGAGATTGCCATCAAAGATGCCACAGTGCTTTTAATTGGCAAGTTTTATATCTGGTACATGGCAAATGTTATATCACATTCCGCGTGCCCAGGCATTGCTTCTGTCCTGGCGTGTAGACAAGAATGGCAGATTATAAAATTTCCAGATCTACAAGTAAGATAATTATCCTTCTCCCCTTTGTTGCTGTTCTGAGGTGCTTACACTGCAGCAGTGTATGACCTGCAGAGCATGGTTCTGACCCCCTCTGTCCTGCTCTTACACTTCCTTCCCATCCTTACCCTTTTTCTCTCTTCCAGCCAGTTTCCAATGAGAACTTTAGTCGAGTACTTTGGTTGAACTTTCCACCAATCCTCTCCATCTTTTTTTGGTTCACTCGTATTTCTTTGTCTCACCAGCGCTGTCTTTCCTGGCTGCTCAGTGACTGTCACTCCAGTAGTGGGGCTGGGTTCTAAAAGCAGGGCAGAAAAGAGCTCCATTTCTTTTTCTGTCATGCTGGGAAGTGGGCTGTTTGTGGTACTGCTTTGCCTTGAAGCCATATTTGTTTGCTGTCCCCACGGTGACTGCCATTCCAGTAACCGTATTCTAAGCTGCATCACAGTTACTGCTGTGCAAAACAGTGGCTCCTCACCCACTCAGGTTAGCTATCATCTTTTTTCCTCATGCAGAGTTCACAGCCACAGCACAACGCATCCAAACACTGTGATGTCTTTTACTCAGTTCCACCAACACAACACACACAGCTGTGTGACAGCCTCCCTTCACAGGTGGATAGACGCATTTCATTGTAAGCAAGTGGGACAAACCAGGAAGTCCATTCAAAATAACGTTCATATTTATTGACATAGCTAAAGATAAGGGCTTGCAGCATATGTATAATATTTGCATATTCCATTTTCCAACTAACAGCTGGAATGAGGTTCACATGAGCCATGTTTGTCATCGTTAATGGCTGCCTTTGAATGACTACCCATCACCTGATATTAAATATCCTAAAAAGATATTTTCTAGATTGAGGCATGAACAGACTCGTGGAATCTAAGATGTTTACTATAAGCCCTTAAGGAAGTTAACAACGCTGTCCAATCCCCTTTTCCCAGATGGAAACGACAACCCACCATAATCATACAGGCTTATGATTCCATGGAACCCATCCTCGAGGTGGCACCAGGTCACTCGGACTCCATTGTCCTCCAACCTCTTCTTGTACAGCAAGCCGTCATCTCTTAGTACATCATACTCACAAGTCAAGATGAAGGACTGAACAACAGCATCTTCAGCTAGCAGGGGGCACAGGTTGGGCTCACAGAACCGCTTCACCGTCTCATAAACTTCAGCCATAAAATTGGAGGGGTTAAGTGGCTTCACTCCTCTGACTTTAAACTCTTCAGGGATGTTATCTGGACTCACCCACTTCCTGTACTTCTGCCTCATATCTGGAGGGATATGAGAGCCCTTCAGGACCTCCTGCATATGTGATGCATCCCCGTTTAAGTACTGCAAAGCAAAGAAAGCAGCGCGTTCCCGGAATAAGAGAGGAACTCCCCGATTCTGATGATAGGATGGCAAATTGAAGTCCAGTGCCTGAAGGCCTGGGTAGATCAGGATCTGAGCACGCAGCCTGGGGAGGTCTGCTCTACCTGCCAGGGTCTGGCTAACAGCAGCAGCTAGATTGCCCCCAGCACTGTCCCCACAGACACTGATCTGGGCAGGATCCACCCCATAGTGCTCTGTACTCCTCATAAAGTGTACGGTAGCATTAAGACAATCTTCATATGCAGCAGGGTATTTGTGCTCAGGAGCTAAACGATACCTAATGCATAACAGACAAGTACAGGAAAAGGAAATATCATTAGTGTTAATCAAGGAGTGTTATCCTACACTACCTTCAAGCCAATTCATTACCTCCTGAGCAGGCATTTCCCAGCTAGTGGCTGCAGATAACGTGTAACTTGTGGTTCAACTACAAGAATTGTCTTCTGATTAAGAAACAATGAGCTTTTTTAATTAATTTCTTCATTGCACTACGTATTCTTGACAAGATAATTTAATGATTTTTTGCCTGTTTCCTTTGTGTAAAATGGGAGTAACACAGCATGATTGTTCTCTCTCTTTTGTAAATTACAAACATTTGGAGCATCTTGTTACATATTCAGCACAAAGAAGATTTGTTCTACCTAAGATTTAAATTGGCTTTTCTAGATTTTCTTTGTATGCCATGTATCTCTTTCCTGGTGTAACAGTGCATTAACAGCTATGTGCTGGGAAAGCATAGCTGTCATTATTTGTCTCTTTTCCTATGCTGAATTCTTTAGAAATTTCTCTGTAAAAAATAACATCTGGAAAAACAGTGCAGCTCTACTGTGGCACCCCAGCAGCAATAATCTCTGAGCAATAGGACTGGGTAGGGTTGACTTACTGAACAGATACAACTACGGATTCACTTTCTCTGGATAAGTAGCGGCACACTTTTTCATAGGTATCTGGAAAAGAAAGACTTTCATTAGTGCTTTGTTTCTGAGACATCTAGGGGGCGTTCATTTCAAGGAAGGTGTTAATTTGTCTTCATACTCCCTCCAAAATCCCATGCTGAAAGCTCCTCTTCTTTCAATACAATGAAAACATGAAAATGTAATATTTAAGTTACTACAGTTCCTCCAGTAAATGTCTTACCGAGACTTCCAAACACCCATCCTCCTCCATGAAAGAAGAGGATAGCTCTCCTTCGCCCGTGACATGTGGCTTTTGGCTGGTACACCCTCACAGGTACTTTGTTAAACTGCAGATCCTGGATAAACAGCTTCGGGTCCACCCTCAGCCTCCGTCCCTGGCGCACGTATCGGCCAAAAGTGATTTGGCTGCAAAGTCCTGTCTTCTCCAAAATCCTTCCCTGTTCAAAGTTAAGAATTAAGGCTTCTTTAACAGTCTTGGTTTAGCCAACATGTAAAAAGCTCCACATCACCCATTAGTGTTCTATAATAAGATGTAATGATCACAGTATAAGAAGTTAGAATAACTATCATGAAGACCATTGAGAGAAGAAGAAAATAGCTATGAAATCATCTCCTAAACTGTCTCTAAATGGCTTCTTGTATTCTATAGATTGAGTTCATTCTCACTGGTCGTTTACTCTTTTTTTTTTTGCCTTCACAAACACATGGAAAACAATGAGGAAATGTAACTTGGCAGCTCATGGAATCATAGAATCATAGAATGGCCTGGGTCGAAAAGGCCCACAGTGCTCATCCAGTTCCAACCCCCTGCTGTGTGCAGGTCACCAACCAGCAGCCCAGGCTGCCCAGAGCCACATCCAGCCTGGCCTTGAATGCCTGCAGGGATGGGGCATCCACAGCCTCCTTGGGCAACCTGTTCCAGTGCCTCACCACCCTCTGGGTGAAAAACTTCCTCCTAATATCCAACCTAAATCTCCCCTGTCTCAGTTTAAGACCATTCCCCCTTGTCCTATCACTATCCACCTTGTAAACAGCCATTCCCCCTCCTGTTTATACTCTCTGTTCAAGTTATGGATTGGTTTTCTTGATAAGAATGCTCACTTCCAAGAAAGTGTGAGTCTCAGGATAAAGTCAAAAAGCAATCAGATCCATACCTGGATTTGCCCTGCCAAGGAGGAAAGTTCTACCTTAAATCATCTGGAATCTCCCAGATTGTATTCTAAAGAATCAAACATGGAAGTCTAGGCTTCACAGACAGCAGTTGGAGAGTTTATCAGTTGTCTGATAAAAATAAAGCTCTTTCATTCCGGAAAAAAACAGATTTCCCAAGCTCTCACTTCCTACATTGAGTAAAAATCCTAATTTCTTTACTTGAATCCTCTGTCATTCTCATGTCACATTATACATTTTATATAGGCTATCCAAATTGGCAATACTGAAGTATGTATTTTAGTCATCAGTCTTGCCCAGCACAGCTCAGTGCTCATTCTTGTCTCATTTACATTTGATCAGAGCAATTAAATTAAATACACAGAAACATCCTCACAAACTCTTACAAATCTCTTCATTGCACAAACCAATACTCTTGAATAAAGCTTGGTGGATTGGTAAATGCTGAATGCCGAGAGGCATTGTGCAAGTTTTATTGGTTTTATTTGCACAACAGGAATGAACAGAACCGAGCATCCCTTCCCAGTGCTCCTGCAATACGCTGAGCTGGAATATAGATCTGCTGCAAGGAGTGGACGAGGGGAAGGTGGGAACAACACGGAGGGGCTCAAACACAGCACAGTGCATCGTGCTGAGCAAGATGCCCATTTTAAATGTTTCACGAGGGCGTTTCTTTATCCGTCCCCTTGCCACGTTGTGGGAGGACTCAGGAGCGCCCGTTCCGAGGGGGTGGATGTGGTGTAAGGAACTGCAGGAGGGCAGGATGTGCGCAGTCAGCAGAGGGAACGCTGTGGCGAAAGGAGCGGAGGAGATTTTTAAACAATTCAAAGGAGCTGTAAAGTGAGAGAGGAAGAGTTGAGCAGAGCTTTAATGCCGTTTATGCAACGCTGTAAAAGTGAGTCCGGGGATTAAGTAAAGCAGCCCTAACCGGATTTGGTCCCATAAATGTCAGCGGTGGCAGGAGCAAGTTGCAGGGCCGTTCCTTGTGCAAGGTGACTTCGCCTCCAGCCCAGCGCACTTAGCAACGAATCGCCGGCTCAGCTCCGCGACTCGCATCGTCGCCGCCCTTTGCCGACCTGCCAGCGAGCCCCGGCGTGCCGCCCCGCATCGCGACACCGGCTTTGCCCAAACGGATGCCGGCCTTCCCCGTCCTCCGCAGCCCCGAGCATCGCCCCGATCCCCGCGTTCCCCCGGCTCGCGTCCCACCGACCCGCCCCACTCACCAGGGCCGCCGTGCCCAGCAGGACGGCCAGCACCAGACGCAGCTTGGCAGGCTGGTTCACCCCGGCCGGGATGTCGTAGCTGGGCAGTCCGAGCAGCACGGTGCCCAGCACCAGCCCCGCCAGGGGCACGAGCAGAGCGAGCAGCAGCAGCAGCAGCAGCACCGCCGCCGGCACCGCCATGGCCCGCCGGCCGCCCCGCGGGGCTCCCCGGCCCGCAGCGGGGCCAGGCTGCGGCCGCCCCCCTCCTGCAGGCCGACGGCGTCACGGGTCGTTTGTGACAGCTCCGCAAAGCCGCGGCCCGGGGTCATGCTGCGAGCCCGGGGGGAGGCCGTAATCTGCCGGAGGGGAGGCGCGGCGTGACCCGGCGTGAGGATGCTCGGGGTCCGCGGGGCGGCCGGCGGCGGCTGGAGCGGCGGGGCATCCTCCGGGAGGGACCGAGCTGTGCAGGGGATGGAGGATCTTCGAGAGGCAGAGCGAGCGGTTGTGTCATTGCGTGTCATTGCCCAGCGATCCCGGCTGCTGGAGAAAAACCGTCGCCTCGCTGCATCCCCAGGGAAATCCGAAGTGTAGCATTTATTTATTCTGCAAAAATCTCCTGTTTCCTCAGTCTTAGGATTTGTTTTTCTTTTTGTCTTAGGGTTTTCTTTTTTTTCTCAAAGTTTTCTTTTCTTGTATTTTTTTTTTTTTTTTTTTTTTTTTTTTTTTTTTTTAAGATTCAAGCCTGGGGTGCATTGCGCAGATCGTGGCCAGCAGAGTGAAGGAGATGATCCTCCCCCTCTGCACTGCCATGGGAAGACCATATGTGAAATACTGCATCCAGTTCTGGGCTCCCCGGTTCAAAAAAGGCAGGGATCTCCCTTGGAAGGAGTGCAGCAGAGTGCAATAAAGATGAGTGAGGCCAACTGGGAGCCCCATTCTGTCATTACTGACTCATATCTTACAAAGTGCTGCTCCCTCTCAACCAATATTTTGCCCCAAACTCCAGGGGGCATACTGGAGACACCCAAAATTAAATAGGAGTTGATGGAGACGTTGTTATTTCATAGTCAGGGCAGCCCTTACTTGCCTCAGGGAGGTGTCCCAAATTGACACAGGCCTTCTGCTGCTGCTCCTCTTGCAGATGTGGTTCTGCCATGCCCTTGTAGGTCAAATCTCTTTGCTAAAACCCTCATCTCCTCCATTTTTGTTCTGTAGCTTTCTTCTAACTCCTCCCTCCACTCACTATATACATGACATGCACTTATTATCTAAATGAAATAAAGGCAAGCTTGCCAGATATCACAAAGATCCTGACTGTAATTCACAGGAGTTATTAAATCCAAATTATTCCATTGACAATGCTGACATGGAAGCAAATCATCTTTTAATTAAATCTAAGGAATCAATCAGGTGCTGATTTGATGGAAAGGGGGCTGAAAAGCAACACTGGAAAGGCTGACCTGTCAATAGTCTCGCAATGACAGTGAGCACTGTTCAGATCATTGCATTTGAAGTTCTACAAGTTCAAAATTGATATTGTACACATAGAGGGGTATCACTTTGTTGCTGACAATTACCATCCAAGCTCTGGGAGCATCCACTAATTTCTGAGATGCAGAAAGATAACCGAGGAAAGCTTCTTCTAAAGGCCTTTTATGAATTGAACAATTCTGTCCAATCCCCTTTTCCCGGATGGAAACGACAACCCACCATAATCATACAGGCTCAATATTGCATGGAACCCATCCTCAAGGTGGCACCAGGTCACTCGGACTCCGTTGTCCTCCAACCTCTTCTTGTACAGCAAGCCATCATCTCTTAGCACATCATACTCACACGTTAAGATGAAGGACTCGGGCAGCTGCTGAATAACAGCATCTTCAGCTAGCAGGGGGCACAGGTTGGGCTCACAAATTCTTTCAAATTTCTTAAAAATTTCGGCTGTGATGTCATAAGTTTTTTGTGGGTTGTATCCTCTTGCCTTAAACCTCTCAGGGATGTTGTCTGGGCTCACCCACTTTTTGTACTTCTGCCTCATTTCTGGAGGAACATGAGAGCCCTTCAGGACATCTTGCTTGTGTGATGCATCCCCATATAGGTACTGCAAAGCAAAGAAAGCAGCACGTTCTCGGAGTAAGAGTGGGACTCCCCGATTTTGCTGGTAGGATGGTAAATCCATGTCCACTGCCTGAAGGCCTGGGTAGATCAGGATCTGAGCACGCAGCCTGGGGAGGTCTGCTCTACCTGCCAGGGTCTGGCTAACAGCAGCAGCTAGATTGCCCCCAGCACTGTCCCCACAGACACTGATCTGGGCAGGATCCACCCCATAGTGCTCTGCATTCCTCATAAAGTGTATGGAAGCATTAAGGCAATCTTCATATGCAGCAGGGTATTTGTGCTCAGGAGCTAAACGATACCTAATGCACGGAAAGAAACAAGAGTGAGATGGAAACAAACTAGGGTTACAGTTTTCTAGCACCTTGAATTTCCCTGTGCTATCTGTAGTGTTTTCACTTCAGCAACACCAACCAAAGAGCCTGCTGTCATTCATGGTCTGCTAAGCACATCGCCTTCCACAGCTGTGGGTCGAGGGACGTGGTTAGTGGGCATGGTGGGGATGGGCTGATGGTTGGACTGGATGGTCTTAATGGTCTTTTTGACCTTTATGATTCTGAGATCATATTATCATAGGGAAGTAACAGCCAGGAGGATGAAGTTGCAAAGATGTAGCGCTGCTGTGATCTTCTGAGATAAGGTCTGAGCAGAAGGTATGGTGCGAGCTCACTGCAGTCTGCTGGTGTGGGATACGGGCATTCAGTCAGCCTGCAACTCACCTTCACTTAGGATTTTTCCCTTGAAAATTGTGGTGTTTGGAGGGAAGAAAAGAGAAGGAAGGAAGGGGAGGGAAGGAAAGGAAGAAGGGAAGGGAAGGGAAGGGAAGGGAAGGGAAGGGAAGGGAAGGGAAGGGAAGGGAAGGGAAGGGAAGGGAAGGGAAAATCACCCATTTAGGCTGTGTGGACTTAACTCACCCAACAGACACAACCACGGAGCCGCTCTCTCTGGCGATGTAACGGCAGATGTTGTCATGAGAATCTGCAAGAAATTGGGGTGCGTGGGCTGCCTGCTCCCAGCAAGGTGCACAGCTCTGTCCCTCTCAGCCCTTCACACCCTTCCCCTCCGCTTCTCCCTCTGCCCCCTCAGCCGCATCACCTCCCTGTGAGGCAGCCCAGAGCCCCTCACTGCCTGAAACTGGGCCGTTTCCATCCCTTCTCCCAGCTGTCTGGGCAAAATTCTCCCTCCCTACCGATGCTGCAGTAAATCCAACCACCGCCGTGGAAGAAGATGATGGCAGGCCTCGGGGCAGCAGATGGCACACGGGGCAGGTAGAGCCGCACCGGCACTCCACCAAAGTGCAGGTCCTGCAGGAACAGCTGTGGCTCCGGTCCCCGCTTCTTCCCTGAGCGCACGTAGCGGGTGAAGGTGATCTCTGTGCACACTCCAATCTTCTCCAAGATCTTGCCCTGTTTGGAGGAAGGGGTAAGCTGTGAGGGAGCCACAAGGGGCATGCAGACACTGGAGAGGATGCCCTGTGCAGATGTTGTGTTCCAAGGTTTCCCAAGAGGTGCTATCTTATCAGCTTTAAAAGCACCCAATCTCCCACCAGTGTGACTGGAAAGCCCAGTGGATGGCCTGAAAACGTCATCTGTGCTTAGCTAAAGTGCAGCCAAAGCCATCTTGCTGTTCATCAATCTTTCATTTAAATGGAGTGAGGGAAGATGGGCTCAGTTTGGGCTGTCACAGATGGCTTCATCCTGACATGGTAGGCAATCCTATCAAAGATGGAGATATCTGAGGTCTGATAGAAAGGATCTGACAAAAAACATCCTCTAAAGTCAACCAAAAAAAGGAAGGAAAGGAAATCCTTCACTGAAGTGTTAATGTAGCCCATAGGATTCTGGCATTTCATAGACTCATAGAATGACTTAGATTGGAAGTGACCTTAAAGATGACCAGTTCCAACCCCTGCCATGGGCTGGGTGCTCCCCACCAGCTCAGGCTGTCCAGGGCCCATGCATGGCCTTGGGCACCTCCAGGGATGGGGCAGCCACAGTTCTCTGGGCAGCACTACCAGGGCCTCACTGCCCTCTGAGTACAGAATTTCTACCTAACATCCAACCTAAATCACCCCTCTGTAGTTTAGAAACATTCTCCCTTGTCCTATCACTGTCAGATCATGTAAAAATTCAGTCCACCTCCTGCTTTTAAGCTTCCTTCAAGTACTGGAAGGCAGCATGGAGATCTCCCTGGATCCTTCTCTTCTCCAGGCTGAACAAGCCCAGCTCCCCAACCTTTCTCCATAGGAGAGGTGCTCCAGCCTGAGCATCCTCACAGCCTCCTCTGGACCTGCTCCAATAGTCCCACATCCCTCCTGTGCTGGATGCAGAACTGCAGCTGGGGCCTCACAGTGGCAAAGCAGAGGGAGACAATCCCCCCCCTTCCCTGTAAGTCACTTTTCTTCTCCTGCAGCCCAGGATACAGATGGCCTTCTGGGCTGCAAGTGCACACTACTGGCTTATGTTCAGTTTTTCACCCATCAGGACCTTCAAGTCCTTCCATCTCCCTAGGGCTGCTCTCAATGAGTTCTTCTCCCACTCTGTACTCGTATCTGGGATTGCCTCAACAATCCTAGATATATATTTACATATATATATAAACTTTTATATATATATATATATATTTACACATATAATCTAATAGAAAATAACACTTAAAGCTTACTTCTGGCAGAAATCATGGCAAAGTAACTCACCAGAGCAGATGTAAAAACCATATGTGCATGGATAATACGAAGCTTTCCAGGCTGATCCACTCCAGGAGGGATGTGGACATTGGGAAAGTCCACCTGAATAGTTCTTACAATTGCTAATGTGAATGAAGCAGTAAAAACCAGCAGCAGTATCACTAACAATATATAAAAAAATTCCATTTCACTTAACCAAAGGTGGGGTGTTTCTACACCCGTCTTTGATGCAGATGGCAACGACTGATGGAGCAGCCCAAATTAAAACAGTTCTCTCAGGTGCCACACTTAAAAATCCTTGGAAACGTTGTGCAAGGTGCCAGCATGCATCACATCGGAAAAGGGTCAGAAGAGAATGTGTTTGATTTCCTGTTTAGCTGCTCGATAATTGTGGGATTGATACAGGGACTGGTACACGACATGGCACTCTTGGATTGCGGATGATAGGATCAGCTGTTCAGAGAGAGCAGTTAATTAGTGAAGTCCTAGTTTGTGATGTGTTGCTATTTACATGAAGAGTGAGCCAACTAGCGTGGAGGTTAAATCAGCTCTTGCATATGATCTGCAGCCACAACGTACTCCTTCCTGTGCTACAGACCTTCTTTGGGTAGCTTGGAATATATGATATTAACAAGGGGATTTATAAAGGAAAAAGCTGCTAGCACGGGCTTCACAAAAACAAATGCGTTGGCCTTATTTTGTTGTTGGAGTATTTAAATATAGGAACAAGTTTTTCAGCTTACTCATGTTTGATAGATGTAGAAACACACGTAGAGCATCTCCACTGTAATTTGCACAAAGCCGTTAAAAGCAGCTCTGTCAAGGATTGCTGCAATTCTGATTCCATTGATTCAGGTGTGAAATATCATTTAGCTACACTTAGCCAAAAGAAATATTATGGAACTTGGTGGCTGGGACACTTAGATGCTGCACATCTAACATATAGTAAAGGCAGTACGTCATTGGACTGTAATATCAGTGCCTTTCTCCTTTGCCAAAACACATTTAGTCTTCTGGGAAGAGTAAAACCACGGATTGTAAGTGAATAAAATGGGCAAGACCAGATGTTGATTTAAAATTTTACAGCATCATTAATATTTACTGAGAGAGCAGCAAGTGCCTCATCCAAATAGATCATTAAAATAAGCAGACTGCACATGAAACAGTGCTGGAAGAAACGTTCACCATTTTTTCTCTTCAAAATATCCTTTTTCACTAATTGTAATGTCATAATGGCTCTTTAACATAATTGCTCTTTAACTCTTGCCTTACAATGGAATTCAGAAACATAAGAGACTCAAAGAAAAACAGTAATCTTAATAGAAGGAATAGAAGAATTTGTCTCTATAAACTTTTTAGGAAGTTCACAATATTGTCCAGACCCCTTTTTCCAGATGAAAACGACATCCATTCACTATTAAATGAGTTGATGATTCCATGGAACCCATCCTCGAGGTGGCACCAGGTCACTCGGACTCCGTTGTCCTCCAACCTCTTCTTGTACAGCAAGCCATCATCTCTTAGTACATCATACTCACAAGTCAAGATGAAGGACTCAGGCAGCTGCTGAACAACAGCATCTTCAGCTAGCAGGGGGCACAGGTTGGGCTCACAGAACCGCTTCACCGTCTCATAAACCTCAGTTGAACAATCAAGTAACACATGTGGCTTGTAGCCCCTGACTTTAAACCTCTCAGGGATGTAATCTTCACTCACCCACTTCCTATAATTTAATTTAATATCTATAGGGATATGTGAACCCTCCAGGACTTGTTCCAGATTTGATGAGTTCCCATTGAGGTATTGTAACACATAGAAAGCAGCGCGTTCTTGGAATAAGAGAGGGATTGCCTGATTTTGCTTATAGGATGGCAAATTGAAGTCCAGTGCCTGAAGTATTGGGTAGATCAGGATCTGAGCACGCAGCCTGGGGAGGTCTGCTCTACCTGCCAGGGTCTGGCTAACAGCAGCAGCTAGATTGCCCCCAGCACTGTCCCCACAGACACTGATCTGGGCAGGATCCACCCCATAGTGCTCTGCATTCTTCATAAAGTGTATGGAAGCATGAAGGCAATCTTCATATGCAGCAGGGTATTTGTGCTCAGGAGCTAAACGATACCTAATGCACAGAAGGAGACAACAAAAGTAGGAAAAGGAATGATACTAACGTTAAATGTACTGCTGAAAATAGTAGTTCTTGTCACCAGCAATACCACGATTACCTTTCCATTTCTCCATGGGTTGTCATAAATCAGCTTGTGACTAGCCAGGCCAGGTGATGGAGGCTAACTGTGCTGGGTCATCGTCTGCTTATGGCATTGCTCAGGTCTTGAACAACTCAGGAGTACTCAGCTGCTATCTATGTCCATGTTCTATGGACTGACCCTTAATCATTTCGTGCTTTCCATGTGTCAGATAGCACTATTTCCTTTCTATGTGTTCATTAGTTCTCATCATCCAAATAGTTGTCAATATATCGTTGATAATATTAGCTTGTCATTCATGTAATGCTCTTGTAAGCATCAAGTAGTTTCTTTGAGTGAGGATTAAGTAGAATACTGGACTTACTCTCTGTTTACTATCAATTTCTAGATGGGAATTAAGAACATGTCCTACTTTTTCCAGTTAGATACCCAGAAGTATTATTTGATTTAAACAGGCAATAAAATTCCGAGTCAGTCTTGGTTGGCTCCAAATGAGAGCAGTGCAAATTTGTAAAATCACACATCCCACAGAAATATTGCTCTGGTTACAGCTGACACGATGATCATAGAGGCTATAAGTTGTTATTCACAGTACAGAAAATAATCCTTGAAACACGGCATGACAAAAGACTCACCCGACAGACACAACCACCGATTCGCTTCGTCGGGCAAGAGAGCGGCACAGGCTTTCGTGGGTCTCTGAAAGAAACATTTTCACGTGGGGTTTCTGTTGTGTTATTCTTTGGTTGTTTATGTTTCGTTGTTCGTGGGGCTTTTTTTTTTCATCAAGAGTTCTAATGCTGTCCATTACTTAAGGCAATGATTTACACGGAAGAAGCACGCCTTTTCTGTGCCTCTTCCTGCACAGCTCTGCAGACCTTTTTTACCCTTTGATCGTCTCCTTTCGTTATGTTTGGTGCTTTCCCCTCGTATCTCACTGTCTTTTCTTTAGGAAAAATCACGTGAGGCGTAGCAGATATTACAGCAAGACTTAGAAGAATGCATCTGTGGTTATACTCAAATTTCATAACAACTACAGGTTAAGCAACTATCAACCTTAGCATTGACGTGGAAGCTACTTTTTAAACTGAATTACAATAATTTCTTCTGTTAGATATCTTACCAAGGCTTCCAAACACCCATCCTCCTCCATGGAAAAACATTACTCCTCTCCTTGGGCTGGCAGATGGAGCCTTGGGCTGGTAAATCCTTACAGGCACTTTCTCAAACCACAGGTCCTCAATGAAGAGCTTCTGGTCTGCTCCCAGAGCCTTAATGCCTTGCATGTACCGAACAAAGCTGATCTGACTGCAGATGCCAATCTTTTCCAAAATCTTTCCCTGTTCAAACACACACACACAAAAAATAGGGAATTCACTCAGGAGATTCTGTATTATTCAGTGCAAAGGAACTGCGTGGGTGATGAATGAAAGTATTTATTTTAGTGTATTTGCTGTTCTCCAAACAGAAATGGAACAACTACAGAGTTGTTCTCACCTCAATATTGACCCTGTTTGGTTGTTTATTCATGCTGTGTTACACTGCAGCACACAGTCCTGGTTTATGGTACCAGTGGGCAGGTGACAAAAGGAGAACTGGCTTTTCCAGGTGCTTAAGTGAAATCTTTCTGATTATATCTTGTACTGAACTGAAGCACGAAAACACACATGCTGGAGTTCTTTAGTATTGTCTACTACTATCAGGAATATTCCTGACTGAGAAATATACAAATATATTTATTTCATCTTAAATAATTTGTCTCTCTTGGAGGTGCTTAAGTAATTTATTGAGTGCGTGCTCAACTTCTCACATATTCTTAACACCCCTATTAGCATCTATCATTACCTCTATCATTCTTGGTTCGGTGAGATCCTTTGTCAGCACAACCAACCAGAAATCAGTGCTGCTAACAGCCAAAGCCCTTGTTTGCTCTTTGATCCCATTCAAACAAGCTTTGCTTAGCTGCTCATAAGTTACAAATATGTGGAGAGATGGAATTCTTTCAGCTCCTCTTGGGCAACCTCCCCCAGTTCTGTCACTTGTTTCACAACAGTCAAACCCCTTCCCCAAACCAGTAGTTCAGTCTGTAATTTTATCTTCAAAACAAACACAAAACCCTTCACTCCCAAGCCCAAACAAAGCTTGAAAGCATGCCTCCAAGGACACTGGCTACACTCTGAGCCTTGAATGGAAAAAGCTTCTATTTCATTTCTACTAAGTACTCTTCTTCAAATTATTGCTAGGTTAGCAATTGTGCTAGGTTAGCACAATTCACAGTAGAGGCAGTCAGGCTCTCCAACCCCTGTGTTAGGCAGTGCTTGTGTTCTGCCTCATGTAAGAGCTGGGCATAATCTGATTGTAACGAGGTAGTGCAATGTGAAGAATCTGATAAAGGTTTCTTTAGCAAAACTGAGCTCTAAATGCAGCTTGCAGCATGCTAGCCATGCCTTGCATGGCAAAGTCCTAGCCTTGCATTAAGATTCACCATTCTTCCCATCACAATCACACAAGGTTAACTTACCACCACAGCTGTGCTTATCAAAATAACATGAATGATTCGAAGCTTCACAGGTTCATTCACTCCAGGAGGAATTTCAGAGTTGGAGAAATCAAAATTAATTGCCGCCATGACCAACAGTATCAATCCAGCAACAAAAACTGCCAGGAAAAGCACAAGGATCGTGTAAATAGCTGTCATTTTTGCAGAGCTGTGAACAAAGTGATCTGAAATGTCTTTGATTTGACCTTCCCCGATATCTTTGGCTTCTTACTTCCTGATTCTTAAATGCCTTTGTTTGTCAGAAGGCTGCCCTGGTGAAAAGCTTTTCTCCTCCCTTTTGCAAATACATTACTGTGTGTCCTTCCCTCTCCCACCCTCTCTCTGCATGCTCCCTTTATTTCACAAAAGATAAATCAAGTTCTGAGTTCTGTTAGAAGATCTATGCCAGCAACATTTTGGAATTTTTGCAGGAAACCAGTCCTTGGCAGGGACGGGAGTGTAATGAATCAACTGCATTAAAATCAATTAGAGGTGGAGAAAAGACACAAGGTGTTCATATTCCTTGAGTCTGTGGCACTATCAAATACATTTCATAGAATCATAGAATCCTAGAATGGCCTGGGTTAAAAAGGACCACAATGCTCATCCAGTTCCAACCCCCTGCTGTGTGCAGGTCACCAACCAGCAGCCCAGGCTGCCCAGAGCCACATCCAGCCTGGCCCTGAATGCCTGCAGGGATGGGGCATCCACAGCCTCCTTGGGCAACCTGTTCCAGTGCCTCACCACCCTCTGGCTGAAAAACTTCCTCCTCATATCCAACCTCAACCTCCCCTGTCTCACTTTAAGACCATTCCCCCTTGTCCTATCACTATTCAACTATCCATTTCAGAAGTTTATCTAGAGATGCTTGTCCCATGCTTTTCAAATCTGTAGAGGTATCTCTGTACATCAAGGGATATGAAATGCCAGCAGGAGCAGGGAGGTGATCATCCCCCTGTACTCAGCTCTGGTGTGAACTGTGTTCAGTTTTGGGCCCCTCCTGCAAGAAAGACATTGAGGCCCTGGAGCGTGTTCAAAGAAGGGCAACAAAGCTGGTTGAGGGGTCTGGAGCACAGGCCTTATGAGGAGCAGCTGAAGGAGCTGGGATTGTTCAGCCTGCAGAAGAGGAGGCTCAGGGGAGACCTCATTGCTCTCTATAACTACCTGAAGGGTGGTTGCAGTGAGCTGGAGGTCGGCCTCTTCTCCCGTATAACCGGTGATAGGATTAGAGGGAATGGTTTCAAGCTGCACCAGGGGAGATTCAGGCTGGATGTTAGGAAATACTACTTCTCTGAAAGGGTGGTCAGGCACTGGAATGGGCTGCGCAGGGAGGTGGTGGAGTCCCCTTCCCTGGAGGTGTTCAAGGAACGTTTGGATGTTGTGTTGAGGGATATGGTTTAGTGAGAACCATTGGTGATGGGTGGATGGTTGGGCTGAATGATCTTGTAGGTCTTTTCCAACCTTAGTGATTCTGTGATTCTGTGAAATGTGTTCATTTAGCACCTCGTTTCCCCACCCTGTCCACGTCCATTTAGTTAGCAGGAAGTTATTGCCATATATATGGCAATCATTGCAAATCAATCAGTAAAGAAAAGATATTAATCTGTGGCTGGGAGAGTGCTGATGAGCTGTAAGACATCTCCTGCTGGTTAGATGGCTCTGAGCTTTGCCTTGAATTCAAAGAGAAGTACATCTCTATCCTGACTAGATAATAAATGTTCTCTTATTCTTTAGAATATAATTAAGAGACCGGGAAATAAAATTAAGTGCACATCTTTCAACTTCTCCATAGGTTCAGTATTTAGTATTCAGTGTTGTTGTTTAGAGCTCGCCTAGCTTTCCTCAGCTTAGCTCTGCAGAGTGCAGCAAGAGGAACGCTTCCTACTGACATCAGCTGCAAACACTGCGTTGCAATTGCCCCCATCCTCCATTGCTTGGCAATTACAGTTCTCTTTATGCTTCTCTAAACCTCTATGGAATTATCACAGCCTATCTCATGAGTTGGGTCACTTGTTCTTCTTTCACTGTTTCTCTCTAATGTTTTCCAGTGTTATTTTTTCTGATTTCATGCCTTTCTTCATTATTGTTAACACAAGGGCGTCTAAGAACTTTATATTTTTTCAGCCAGCTTTTCCTGCTTGTTCTTTGCATGTGCCTGGTTAAAAAGTTATCCAAAACAAATGGTATTAGCAGTAGTGCTTAAATTTTTCCCCTGTGGACAGGATGGGAATTTTAATTGAAAGATTTCTAGTTTCTCCATTCCTATATTGTCATTCTAAATAATTTCTTCCCTGGAACAAGGAGCTGGTTGTCATAAAGCCAACAACAACGACTGTATTCATTGGAATGCATGGTTAATAAAACACTAGAGGAGGCTGAGTTTAGATTCATGATCAGGTTATCTTGTATCAGGTAAGCTTCAGTGACTTCAGGGGGTTGGAACTGGATGATCATTGTGGGCTTTTTCAACCCAGGCCATTCTATGATTCTATGATTCTGTGATCTTTGATGTCCCTCCCAACCCAACCATTCGATGCTTTCCATATGAGGAAATGCTACACCATGAAATGACAGATCTGACGAGGTAAAATTAACAAGGCTGTGGTCGCTGCCGGTGTTGCATTGCTTCTTTCACCAAGCATTTAGATTGGTTCAATTAGATTTGTTACTGAATAAGTGTGAAGCAAATTTAACTTGCTCTTAAAACAGACATTTCCACAGTAGGGGTTTTTATTTTTGTTGCTGTTGCTGAAAGCATCACAACATTGCCATGACATCACAGCTTCTTGCTAAGATAATGCAATGTCCCACTTCTCTACCTCCTTACAACTGTGGTCGTCAGAACTTTTTAAAGAAAAGCAGAATAGCAGGTGGAGCATTCACTGAAGTGTGAGGATTCCAATTACAGAATCAAATCCCAAAGGAAAACATCATTTCTCAGAGTCCAAACAAAATCGAGCTCATATAGTAATTCCAACTGAGAACTTCAGTTTCAGAAAGAAGTCTTTATTTCAAGAAAAGTGTAGTCCTTGTGCGAGCCAACCCTAGAAGTTAGAATGCATAGCTGCATTAAAATGCATATCTGACACAAGACTTCACCGAACCTAAGACAGGTTCCATAAACATTCCCTACCTTCACCAGGGCCAAAGTGACCTCCAGTTGTTGTCTTCAGCATTTCTAGGCTGTAGAGAAAACTTCAGCAAGAGATGGTTTAGTGGGCAGTATTGATGGTAGGTGGATGGTTGGACTGAATGATCTTGGAGGTCTTTTCCAACCTTAATAATTCTGTGATTGTATGTTATTTGCCTTGACTGTGTGCCAGCTACTGGAATGGCTGGAGGTGAAGTAAAACAGTGCCTGGTGCTCAATCTCATTGGTGTGTTTTTATTATAGTGTTTTCTAGAATGGTGGTGCTTTAAATAACCTTAGAATTTTTGGTAAGTAACTGCAGAATGAGAAATTAGATTCCTCATACAGTCAAAATAGAAAACATAAATCAAATGCGTTTGCATTCTTTGCCAAGCATAAATTCACCAAGGATAGTGTAAGATAGATCATTTTTCTGAAAAATACTTTTATAGACTGTTTATATAATTCACAGTGTTATCCATTATCTTTTCTCCAGATAAAAAGGAAAAAATCCCATAGCCAAAAAAGGCTAAAATGCCGTGGAAACCACTCTTAGAATGATACCAGGTTACTTGAATGCCATTGTCCTCTAATCTCTTCTTGTATAACAGCCCATCATCTCTAAGCACATCAAACTCACAGGTCACAATATAGGATTCGGGGAGCTGGCAAATGATGGCATCTTCAGCTAAAAGAGGGGAAAATGTCATTGCTAGCACTTCTTTGATTGCTTCATGGACTTCGGGTTTATATGAAGTGTACTTCTGAGATTTGTAGCCTCTAATCTTAAATTCATCAGGAATATTGTCAGCACTTATCCATTTTTTGTATTTCCGTTTCATACTCTCAGGAACATGGCAGTTTTGTATGATATCTTCAAAATATGATGGTTTTCTATTTAGGTAACGAAAACAGAAGTAGATGACTAGCTTCCGAGACAATATGGGGACTGAAGCATTCTGCTGATAGGAAGGCAATTGAAAATCTAGCCCCTGTAGTCCTGGGTACAGTAAGATCTGTGCACGTACTTTTGGGAGATTTCTTTTATTCACCAGTATTTGGCAAATAACCGTAGCAAAATTAGCTCCACAGCTGTCACCACCAAGGATGATGAGAGCAGGATCCACGTGATACTCATCTAAATTCCTCATAAAGTATAAGGTAGCATTGAGACAATCAGAATATTGCCCAGGATATGGGTGTTCGGGAGCCAAGCGATAGCTGGAATGTCAAAGACATTGGGGTTATTTTCAAAGTCATTATAAAAATGTGATTTGTGCTGTTGGTGTGGTAGTTGGGTAGGTCTTTTTATCTATATTTTAAAGTTTGCTTGCTTTTGACTCAGTGTAAACATAAACTAATGGTGTACAGCTATTTTAGAATACTTCGCCTCTAAGTACATTTCCAAATTAAACGAAAGGCTCAAGGCAGAAACACAGAGCACAATCTGAAATAGCTGAGATTATTGACACGTTTTTCAGAACTGTTTCAATGGGGAACCATTACCACAAACGTTTGTACATAAAAGTAACACTTACCCAACAGACACAACCACTGAGTTGCACTTTTTGGCGATATGGCGACACATTCTTTCAAAGGCTCCTAAAGACAAAGCATAACAGAGATTATATTTTAAAAGTTAAATGTCCTTTTGAAAGTGTAGATCCATATTAAGGTATTGCACACGTTCTCTGTGGAAGCCACTGCAGCAGCATGGGACCAATGAGTAACTTTTGTGCAATGCAACCTTAACATATTTTCTGATTATTAGTCATTGGTGGATTAGGCATTGGTGGACAGACATATGAGTGGTGATGCTGGGGAAAACAAGAAGTGTCCAGGTTGGTATCACATCTCAGCTGATGGATGATGAAAATGTCTAAGCTTGTGACAACCATATGATAATGCTTATGCAAAAGGTTTACGAAAACTTGAGGCTTCAAGGACTCCGCTGAGTCAG